TCTGTTGGTCCCTGATAGCCTAAGAATATAATTGGCACTCCTTCAAAAACAGGGCTATGGGCTATTTACAGATTTTTCATTTTGTAAATTTACTTCTAAATTATTCCACACTGTCAACATTTCCTTTCAAATTCTGTAGAGTAGATGCCTAGGCAATCTCACTTGTTCAAAAGCAAAACAAGAAGAGTAAATAAAGCCACCAAAGTCCTTCTTGTAAGTTTAGTCCCCACTCATCTGCATGCCTTCTCAGCTCAAGCATTCTCTTCCTATCTCTGTACTCCTGAAACTGCTCTCTCTAAAGCTAGTTCCTGGTTCTTCGTCCAATAGATACATGACATCTTTAGTATGTATCTTTTTTCTTTCCTTTTTAATGTATAATCGGTGTTGGGACCAGCAGTTAGCGTAATGCCTATGTCACTGGACTCCCACGTAGTCAACCGCGGTGCGTGTCCCAGACCCGGTGGCTTAAAACACGCTGAGCGCGTGTGCATACGTGCCCAAGATCCCGAGAGGAGAATGGAGGAGAAGGGATTGCGACGTGACCATCCTCCCTGGGGGGAGATTTCTCGCTTTCTGTCTCTCTGTCTGTCTGCCTTCTGTCTCTCTGTCTGTCTGCCGAGCGCCCTAGAGCGAAAACTTCTAAAAAAAAAAAAAAAAAAAAAGGCATAATCGCTGTTTTATTTTTTGCCAGAGGACAGACAGTTCTTCAGTCCTTAAAGACTTGGCTCCTCACATGGGCTTTGGTGGAGGGCGAGGGGCAGCACCTGCAGGTCTAAATCGGGGTAGGGGTGTTCAGTCCTTCTGAGCTTCACGAGATCAGTTCCTGACTACCTTGCTATGAATGGCACAACTCACACAGTGATGTAGCGTCACTTATAGCTTGGGGAACACATAGGCATTGAAGACACTTGATATGTCTGACGGCTACGGCCTCTATGTTTCCTATGATGAACTTTTTTTTTTTTTTTTAGAGGTTTTTGCTATACAGCGAGTGCGCTTGCTGGAAAGACATAGACAGAGAAACAGAAAGCTAGAAATCACCCCCCATGGGGGATGGCCACGCCGCAATCCCTTCTCCTCCCTTCTCTCGGGATCTTAGACACCCACGCACATGCGCCCAGCATGAGTTTAAGCCACCGGGTCTGGGACTCAAACCACAGTCGACTACATGGGAGTCCAGAGACATAGCCTTTATGTTAACTGCTGGTCCCCGTATGATGAACTTCTTAATAGCTTTGTCCTTGGGCAGTTCGTGCAGAGAATAGGCTGCACATGGCCGTGGGCCTTTTTGGCATACTGTTGTTCCTTCTTTTCTTCTTCATCTCGGAAGCGAAGCCACTAGCAGTATATACCTTTTATTTATTTATTTTTTCCTGTGAATTTACTGAAGTTTCTTTTTCTTAATTTTTGGTTTCTGGTTTGCTGTCATGGGCCTGAGCCTCCTCATTGAGAAGCCCTCTCTTTCATCACTGAAGCTTTATTACTCATTATTTTGTGACAGGAGGTGTTGGGCCAGTACACGGTTAAAACCATGGGGCCTGGTAATGAGGAAATACCTGTAAATTGGGGCCATGAGGATGATTAGAGTGTGGAGCTAGGACCTGGCACGGAGGCCGGAATTCCAGGACGTATCTCAGAGGTCCAGGGTGGAGCAGTTTTGATGTTGGCCAGAATGGCAGGAATGGCACAGATGCAGGAGTGGGACAGGTGCAGGGGTGGGAAGTTTTTCTGAGTCTCACAAGGGGAATACTGAAAGTGTTGTTTTCTTCGCTTCTCTAAATTGGTTCATGCAGCTTTTGTCTCAACACATAATTGCATTGTGGCATTTTCCCAGTTCTTTTCAGCTTTCCCTCTCCATCTCTCACTTTTTTATTAGTAAAACATTTTTGCCCTTTAACTCTTAAAACGTGTGTGGACTCACCAGAGAGACAGGGATAAAGGAGGAGGGTTGGCAGGAAGGAGAGGGAGAAAGCACCCTCCACTGGGTGCGGTCACACCACCGTCCTTTCTCCTTTTCTTCTCCACCCTGTCAGGATCTTGGGCGCACATCACATGTGCTCAGCATGTTTTTCAAAACTGCCTGGGCTGGGTTTGTGCCATGGTCAGCCATGTGGGATCCACTAGGCTATGGGGCTGGCCTCTTTCTTTAGGATTATCCACCCACCTGGCTTTATTCCTGGCTTGGTGTTTTGGATGTTGTTATATTTGCCCATTTAATGTTACCTATTGCACTATATTTTTAGTGTGCTTGGCATAACTACATTTAATTTTCTTTCTTTTTTGGCTATAGGGTGTGTACACTCTCAAGAGAGAGACAGAGTGGGGTGGGGGAGAAAGAGGAGAGAGAGAGAAAGAGGAGGGATTAGAAATCACACCCTGGGGCCACACTACAATCCCTTCTTCTCCATTCTCCTCTCAAGATTTTGGGCACACATACATACACACCCAGTGTGATTTTCAAGCCACTGGGTCCAGGACTTGAACTGTGCAGCTGGCAATGTGGGATCTAAGCCCCCAACCTCCACACCACCTGCTGCTTTTCATTTTAAACCACATGCTATATCTTAGTTGTAGACAGTTTCTCTACATTTCTTTTCAGTCACTTGTCCATAATGGGTCTCAATGTCCCTTTTCACAAGGCTGTTCTTTGTGAGTTTTGACCTAAATTTCGACACTGCTTACCTGGTGCCTCAAGCCAGGACTCTAAACTCCTCCCTCTGCTCTACTATCAGATTGCCAAGTCGGTTAAGCATACAGGCTTCTAAGCCAGTGATTCTCAGAGTCGGGTGTGCAGAGCACAAACAGCATCATAACCTGGGGGCTTGCTAGAAATGTAAAATTTCAGGCCCCACTCTAGATTTATTGAACTAGAAACTCTGCGGATAAGGCTAACAATTTGTTTTAACATGCTCTCTAAAGTCTGAAGCTCCTGCTGTAAACTAAGCCTAGGGTACCACAGTTGGGCTTCAAATTGTAGTTGGAACTGAGTGTATGTTCATATAAATTTTTCTGAGTAGATAGCTTTTATTTCTTTTAGTTTCTGGAGGAGTTAAGAATGAACAATTCCAACATATGCTGATTTGATACATTATTTCAAGCTGAAATTATCCAGAGTCTAACTGCACAAAAGGCCATTGATCAACACATGAAACAAGCTATGAAGATTCCTCTGGAGAGATGTCCTTTTGTGTCAGGGTTAGAAATAGCCTTTATCACCAGAAGACTTGTAATTGGGGCTACAATGAACCTAAATAAACCAACTTGTCTTCCACTAGTTTCATATGCCCTATGTATCCCTTTCTGGCTTCCCTAAAATTTGCTACACTAGTCAGAGGTTCCTCTCATTCTGCCATTCCTTCACAGCTCTATTCCTTGTCCAAAAAGTATAATGGTATGTTTTTCACTGCCGAGGCTGGAATTTGAGCTTCCAGTGACCATGTAGGACCTGGCTCCTGGCTCCCTTAACAACTGGCCAGTGGGGCCAATCACAAAATAGTAATTTTTCTTTTTTCTTTAGAGAGAGTTTTTTTTTTTTTTCCTTTAGGGGGCATGCCAGAGAGAGAGAGACAGAGACAGAGAGACAGAAAGTGAGAAATCATCCTCCAGGGGGATGGCCATTCTACAATCCCTTTTCCTCCATTCTCCTCTCAGGATATTGGGCATGCATGCACACATGCCTGGTATGAGTTTTAAGTCACTGTATCTGGGATTTGAACCACAGTTAACTACGTGGGAGTCCCACGATATAGCTATTGTGCTATATGCTGGTCCCCCCCAAGTAATTTTTACTCCTTTGTCAAGGTCACTCTTTAAGCTAGTGAAACTAGCTTATTTAAAAATTTAAAATTGTGCATGCTGTGTGTGGATAGAGGTGACGAATACAACTTGTAGTACAGGCTGGCACCACTGCCTTGAAGCCTGCTAAGGTATTATTACCATTTTAACATTCATTGCTTGTGACCAGCGGTGCAAATGTTACAAAATGAGAAGAAAATCAAGGAAGTCTTAGCATTGTTATGAAAATCATTTAGATCTTGGGACCCACTCAAACGTTCTGGGGGTGGGGAGGTGAGTGGCCGGCTCCTATGGAGGGCATTTTGGGAAGCGCTGGGCTAGTCTCCCTGTTGTTATCTCTCATCAGGTGACAATTCTATGTGGACCGCCCGTACCTGCTTTTTAAGTGCCCTTGTCTAACAGTATCGGATACGTACACTCTATGTTTTAACGCCTGCGGAACCAGCGAATAAATGACAAGTTACAAACAACGACCGCATAGATTTCCTCGTATTGCCTCCTTAATTCAATCTGAAGCTAAACGCTTTAACCAATTTTCCAAGTTTTCACAATTAGAACGCCTACCACAATTAAAAAATAGTTGAGGTGTGGGAGCTGCCCGTATATAACAATGACGCGCTGCAGTTTGGTCGAACACGCATTTCTCTGCGATGCCCCAGCCACTTCTTCGCAGCCCCACACCAGCAGGCCAGGCCACTCGGTTTCCCTGTGCGACCTAAAGACCGAAAGATCGGTCTCCGCGTTGATAGTGCAAGAATGAGATCGAATGTAAAGGGGGAAAAGATGATAAAAATCTTCGCGGAGACAAGAGGAGCGGTACCAACAATGGAGGGACCAGGCTGCGGGAGCTCTTAGTCACTAGGGACCAGCCGGGTTGCCGGGGCGACGCTTCCGGCCGGCGCGCGCAGCCCCAGAGCAGGGGAGTTGGGAAATGGGCGGCTAGACCTGCCCGGCGCTGCGAATTCGCCCGCGGGAGCGCGCTCGCGGCCGCGCGTTCTCCGCTTTCCCGGCTCCGTCGCTGACGCGTCGTAGACGTTGGGGAGGGGGGAGGGCGGGGGAGGGGGGT